ATGATTTGCCCACAGTGGCGGAGATGATATGATGGGATGCCCTCAGAGGCGTGATAATGTTATGGCGTTATATACGCATATATTTATATATATATATATATATGTATATATGTATATGGGATACGGGAAAGGTTATGGCGTTATATACGCACTACCACCTGATCAGCTGGTATACGATGATGATTTTGCCAACAGTGGCTGAGATGATATGATGGGATGCCCTCAGAGGCTATATGATGTTATGTACGTACAGACCTTCGCATTACATGACATTAATACGCATATGCATGATACTATAAATATTTCATGATTTACAGAGCTATCCAGACTTGCAGGTTGAATCCTTTACTCCATATTTCTTCCATATCCTTAATTAATGTTGACTTACTACTATGTTGCAGTTCTGCCTTACATACTCAATACATTATTCGTATCTGATGCCCTTTTGTTGGGGACCCAATTAACTGATCTTTGTTAGAGTAACCTCGTTTCTCATTTTTGTAGGGGTGAACTAAAGAGGAAAAAAATGTATAGTTGTTATAGATAGAATTTTAAGTCTTGCCACTTCAAGAGAAGCATGTATATTATTTTGAATCTTTCGAAGGATGAGAAATAAAATTACTACGAAATACTGTTGATATTCGGATGAAATGATGATATGACAGATGTTTAGTATTTTGCATTCACTTCTACGTGCTTGCAAATGTTACTCTCAATTTTAGTTTTAGAACTCTGAATACATAAATTAATATTCAACAAATGGTAGATAAGTCTCGTCTCCTGTGATCTTAAGAGATCAAGTGTAGATCGAGTGGCAAAAATCCACTTACAGTTATACATTACGAGTTGTGGCTATGTTGGCCTATGATAGTTACAAAAGGAATGAATAAGTTACAGAGTGGTTCGCTCGGGCCTCTATGACACCGGGTGTCAGTCACGCCTCCCCAGGTTCTAGGCATAACAAAGTGGTATCAGGACAATTTTATCCTAGTGAGTCTACAAATCGTGTCTGGTAGAGTCTCACTTATAGGTGTGTTGTGCGCCACATTTATAATTGAGAGGCTATATGACATTTAGGAAAAGTTACCTTTCTTTTGTTTTCAGATCGTGCCATAGAGCTGAGTCGTAAGAAGTCAGTATGAATTTGTCGCGAGTTTTTGTATGCACCAGAGATGCAGGTATCACAGTAGAGCATTAAGTAGTAATGTGGACGGGAGGTTATGAAAGAAACAGCAGATACGATGCGAGATTTAAAATTAAGTAAGTTAAAGGTGAATAAAATATGAGACGAAATGTTGTGAATAGTCGAGACTTCAAATAAAGTTTAGGTTTTAGTTTATTTACAGAGGAGACCCTAGTGAAAATTTTGCAAATCTCTAAGAGTTAACATTCGAGGATAAATGTTCTTAAGGGGGGGAAGGATGTTACACCGCGTAAGTTTAACAACCTTACCGTAATATATACGTACAATACGAGAAAGTTATGAGATTTTTTTTATAAAAATAGAAATTATTTTCTCACATGAAAAGAAGGTTGTCGTTTTTACTATTTTAATAATTCAGCGTACGAAAATTTGTACTCTTTATACAAGATTAGAAAAATTGTAAGTTGAGAAAATATATGTACTTTTACATGAATATTTGAATAAAACAATAATGTATGTATTTATTTTATATGGTACCACATGACCAAGATGGTAAGTTATAAAAAGTGTATTAAAAATGAGTAGTACTTTAATTAAATTGAGATAATCCTTAATTATGTGGGTAATTGATTAATCATGAATAATTAATTAAAGAGTGAGATAAGATTTAATGACTAAGTAATAAAACATGCAAGGTGTCACACTTTGAAAGAAATGTGACAACAAGCATTACTCAAGTAAGGCCACCTAATATTTAAGGATAAAATAAAAGGAATCCAACTCATTTTCCTTTATCCTTCTCAGTTGTTACAAAGTCACATGAACAACAAAACTGCCTCTATACAACTTTTTCTATTTTACACTGCCAAAAATTTTGTTCCCTTTACCTTTTCACACCTTCTGAAAGACTATGGCAGTAGAATCTTGTCTCTTCAATATTGTAAATTCCATCTTAGGAAAATTAGGATCAAATGCATTTCAAGAATTTAACTTAATTTGGGGTGTTAAAAATGAGCTTAACAAACTAAAAAAAAACCTTAATTACCATTAGAGATGTACTCTTAGTTGCTGAAGAGCAAAAAAATGAAGAATCATGCGTTGACAAATTGGCTTGAGGAACTTAAAGATGTACTTGATAGCTGATGATTTTCTTGATGAAATTCAGACTTATGGTCAACAAAGGCAAAGGCATAAATCCAAGGTTGGGTTTTTATTCTCACCCTTTAAACTGATTCTTTTTAGATACAAAATGAGTCATAAGATGAAAGAAATAAGGGAGAGGTTAGATAGTATTGCAGCGGATAAAGCTAAATTTCACTTATGTGAGAGAACTATTGCCTTAGAAACGAAAAGGGATTTGACATATTCCTTTATACTTCCAGATGTTGTTGGAAGGAGGAATAAGAGTGAAGAGATTGTTGAAGTTCTAATGCAAGAAAATGATTTTGATGAGTGTCTCTATGTGGTTTCAATTGTTGGAATTGGAGGTGTGGGGAAAATCACACTTGCTGAATTAGTGTACAGAGATGAGAGGATAGTAAATAATTTTCCTTTAAGGATTTGGTTGTGTGCCTCATATGATTTTGATGTCATAAAGTTGGCTAGGAACATTGTTAATTTGGCGAGTGGTGTATCGTGTGATAACTTTAATGTTGAACAAGTGCACTCTTCACTCCAAGATGCTTTGCATGCGAACAGATTTTGATAGATCTTAAATACTCTTGTCGTTTTGATGATCTAGCAAACTTAATGTTAATAAGCAAATAGGGAACCTGACCTGCTTGATTTGTTGCAACCTTTAACGGATTTCAGCTAAAGGTGAACTGCTACAGCTTCAAGAGTTAGGAACCAATACAAGGACCTGATGGCCTTGTAGTTTCCTCATAGCAGTACAAAGTTAATTTGACACAGCTGGAAATGAAGTGTCTGATGGCACTATTTCTGCCGCAGTGCACTACACTGTCAGCCCACTCATTCTCTAACCAAACAAAGTACTCATATCATATCAAGTAATGTGATCAATATGTACAAGCTCATACAAAAACATCACTAGAAGGGTTCTGTTTCTTATTCAAGCCTCTTGCAAAAATAGAGAAATCAATCCTCACAACATGGAGAACAAGGTTGAACGCTACTAAAGACCAGTTCTTAAAAGATAGATTGTTGTTGTCCAAGCTGAGTTGTAACCTTGTTATTGTACTTACTGTATCTCCTAAATCGCTTACCTAGAATCATTCTGATTAGGAATCCTTTTGTAAATTCATAAACTCGTCGAGATTATGTTGTGACTAGATTTAGTCATAAGAAAACGTCTTTGTAATCGAAGAATTACAAAGTGGCTTGTGGTGATAGAATCACAAGTTAGAAAAAGCCTTTCTAACTAGGATATTCACAAAGTGGCTTGTGGTAAAGGTACCACAAGTTAGTTGAGTAAATCCTTTGCAATAGGAATTATTGTAATGTGGCTTGTAATAGGTAGATTACAAGTTAGTGAAGTTAAAAGCCTACAGGTGTAGGTCGTGGATATTTTTATCCCCTTGTGTGGGATATTTTCACGTACAAATCCTCTGCCTCATTTACTTACTATATTATTAAGTGCTTTCAGTAGAACCTCGTAGAGGACCAGGTGCTATATAGTTTGGTGTACTCATATAAACTAACAAGTTGTATCAGAGCAGGTTCCTCCTATCAAGCTAACACCTAGGAAAGATCCTCATGGCGGCTCCACCAAATTTTGTAGAAGGTCAATCCATATACCGATCCCCCAAGTTTGATAGCCAATGCTATTGGTGGTTGAAAGCTAGAATGCACGATTTCATTATGGCTGAGGATTCTGAGTTATGGGATATTATTTGCGATGGTCCTTATGTTCCAATCAAGGTACTAGATGAATTTCCATATTCAGTAGCAAAAACCAGCAAAGAATTTACTAACGCAGACAAGAAAGTTGTGGAAAAGAATTTTCGTGCCAAGAAAATTCTGGTATGTTGAATTAGACCTAAAGAGTATGATAGAATCTCTACCTGTGACACTGCAAAGGAAATATGGGAAGCTTTGCAAATGGCTTATGAAGGAACTACACAAGTAAAACAGTCTGAAGATAAATCTAATACTGGTGATAGTTCCTTGGTGGAAGTTGAAGGCAAGGAGATTGGATATGACTCAACTTTTGCTTTGATGGTTCAATCAGATGATGATGAAGACAATGGCAACAAAGAGGTAAACTTCAGGGACGTTCAGAGAAATCTGAAATCCTATTCTCCAAAAAAAACTCATTTGTTTAGATGATGTTTTAATCACTGCTTTTTGTAGTCTTGCGGATGATAGTGATTCCTTGATCTTAGAACTACAAGAATCTGAACATACTAGAGAAGACTTAGTGGCTGTAGTTACTGACCACACAAAAATCATTGAAATCCTTAGAAAACAAAGAGTGATCTGTTGGAAGAAACTACAGACAAAGGGAAACAATAGTAAAACCTTGGACCAAGTCAAAACCTGAAAGTTCTGAAAATGGAAAGGAGATAGCAAGTGAGGAATACCTTAGGCTCGTAGATGAGGTGAAAGCTATGAGATGTACGATGTGTGCTGAAACTGAGAAAAGCGAGCTCCTCCAAACCAATCTAGAAAAAGTAATGAATGATCTTGAAAGGTCTCTAAAGTGGACCTGGTCCTTAGAAGCTACCACTGCCTTGCTTCGTAATGATAGTGAAAAAAAGCAGGGAGCAGGGTTCCAAAGGGAGAAAACACCTCACAACCCTCACAATAAGAGTGTCACTGTCTCTGATAACTGGACTCGTACCCAATATGGAAACACTGGGCGCTTCAAGAAAAGTGTCCAGGCCAACAATCAATCAGTTCAGAAAGACAAAGTGGCTGTCGAAACCGTGACCACAAAAGAGGGACCATGTTTTACTCACAAAAAACGCACATTACCTGCATGGACTAAGAGAGCACTTATTCATCCTCTAGCTTATTACAAGGGACCCAAAGTTGTTTGGGTTCCTAAAACTAACTTCTAATCTCTTGTGCAGGGAACAGTGAAAGGAAGTGTTCAGCAATGGTTCATGGATAGTGGATGTTCGAAACACATGACTGGAACACCATAGACTTTCTTTCACTAAAAGACCTGCAAGGAGGGAGTGTATCCTTTGGCAATGGCAAAAAGGGATACATTCTTGGAGTTGGAAAAGTTGGGAAGTCGCTCGCTCATTCTATTAAAAATAGGTACTATGTCAATGGGCTTAAGTACAGTCTCTTGAGTGTTTCTCAAATTTGTGATAAAGGAAACAAGGTGAAATTCTTGTCCAAAATATGTACAGTCACTAACCTTGTAACTGGTGAAATAGTACTGGTGGCCAAGAGATACAAGAATATCTATGTTGCTGATTTCGAGTCCGTACAGAGCAGTGATCTGAGTTGTCTGAAAGTTGTTGACGATGATGCTGAACTATGGCACAGAAGACTGGGCCATGGAATCTTTTCCCTTTCAATCAAACTTATTCAAAAGGACCTGGTCCATGGTCTGCCTATGTCACAATTAAAGATGCAAAAATTCTATGATGCCTGTGCTAGAGGAAAACATGTGAAGTCCTCATTTATATCTAAAAGAGATGTGAGCACCTCGAAGCCGCTTGAGCTTCTTCATATGGATCTGTGTGGACCTATGAGGGTGCAAAGCAGAGGAGGAAAAAGATACATTTTCGTAATTTTAGATGACTATTCCAGATTCACATGGACTCTATTTCTCAGAACCAAAGATGAAACTATTGAAATGTTTGTGGCCTTTGTGAAGAAAATCCAGGTGAAGATGGAGTTAAGAGTTGTATGCATTAGATCATATCATGGGACAGAATTTGACAATGTCAAATTTGATGAATTCTATAATGAAAATGGCATCACTCACAATTTCTCAGCTCCCAGAACTCCCCAGCAAAATGGAGTAGTAGAAAGGAAGAATAGAACTATGGAAGAAATAGCAAGAACAATGCTGATTGACAGTGGACTTGCAAAGAACTTCTAGGCTGAAGCTGTAAACACTGCTTGCTACTTAGTGAACAGGTGCATGATCAGATCACTTCTGAACAAAACCCCATATGAAAGTTGAATGGAAGAAAACCCATATTTGGATGTAAATGCTATGTTCTCAACAATGGAAAGAATCATCTTGGTAAGTTCGATGCCAAAAGTGACGAAGGAATATTTCTTGGTTACTCTTCTCAAAGCAAGGCCTACAAGATTTATAACAAGGGAACTCGGTGTGTTGAGGAAAGTGTCCATGTTATTTTTGATGAATCTCATCCATTATTTGAGAAGAGTGTTGAGGAAGATCAATATGGAGAACCCTTGGTTGTTCTTGGGGAAGTCATTAACATGTCAAATAAAAAAGCAGATATGATGAGTCGAGTCAAGGAGACAAATGAAGACAATGCTGCCTCATCATTAATAGAACCAAGCACTTCAATTACAATTACTAAAGCTGAAGAAAGAGTGGTTGATGCAGTTCAGGGAACTCCACTAGCACCTAAGAGAAGGATAGAGGAAAATTAGCCAAACATACCTTCCTCCTCTAAGAATGAACCTCAAACGTCCAACTGGAGACATCAAAGATCTCACCATACAGACAATATAATCACTCCTCTAGATTCCGGAGTTTAAACCAGGTCAAGAGCCAAAAATGCACTTGCCTTCTTAGCCTTTCTCTCCCAGATAGAACCCAAAAACATCAAGAAAGCCTTGAAAGATGCAGATTGGATTACAACCATGCAAGACGGGCTTCATCAGTTTGAGAGAAACAGTGTATGGCACCTGGTTCCCCGACCCCCAGATAGAACCATTATACGAACCAGGTGGGTATTCAGAAACAAGCTCGATGAACATGGAATTACCACAAGGAACAAGGCCAGGCTAGTAGTCTAAGGCTACAATCAGGAGGAAGGGATTGACTATGATGAAACATTTGGTCCAGTGGCTCGCATGGAAGCTATCAGAATTCTAATCGTTTTTGCATCTCATATTAAATTTACCTTGTCCTAGATGGATATCAAAAGTGCATTTTTGAATGGACTCCGTAAGGAAGAAGTCTATGTGAAGCAACCCCCAGGGTTTGAATGTCATGAGCACCCTGAATATGTGTTCAAACTGGACAAAGCTCTGTACGGGCTAAAGCAGGTTCCTCGAGTTTGGTATGAAAGATTATCAAAATTTCTCTTAGAAAATGGTTTTAAGAGAGGGAAAATTGACAATACTTTCTTCTTAAAGAAACGAGGAAGGAACCTACTCATTGTTCTGGTTTATGTTGATGATATCATTTTTGGAGCAACAACTGACTCTCTGTGTGAAGAATTTGCAAAACTCATGGGAAGCGAATTTGAAATGAGCATGATGGGGGAATTAAACTTCTTCCTGGGTCTTCAAGTAAACAGTCCCTAAAGGATACTTCCATTTGTCAGCAAAAATACATCAGGGAAGTCTTGAAGAGGTTTGACATGGAAGCATCAAAGGTGATAGACACTCCCATTGCAACTGCTACTCGACTAGACATGGATGAAACCGGATCTCCTATGAATCAAACAATGTATAGAGCCATTATTGGGTCTCTCCTCTATCTCACTGCTAGTCACCTGATATAGTTTTAAGTGTGGGTCTCTGTGTAAGGTTTCAATCGAATCATAAGGAATCTCACTTGAAGGCTGCCAAAAGGAT